TATGTATTTATATTTATATTTATATATCATTAATGGTTTCAGCTTCACTGCTAAACATGATATTCCATAAACTCTTTATTGGTAAAGAAGTGAAATACTTAAACAATAATAGAAACTAATAAAACTTCTCCGTCCGACAGGTTGATGTCTCACATGAAGCAGCACGTGTCCTCCATGTCTCAGGAGTACGGAGACGATCCGGACTCTCAGTGTCCTCACTGCTTCCGTCACTTCCTGTCTCCATTCAAGCTGCAGTGTCACATAGAGGCCGTCCACAGTCAGTACCAGTCCACAGGTCAGTACTAGTACCAGTCCACAGTCAGTACCAGTACCAGTCCACAGTCAGTACCAGTCCACAGGTCAGTACCAGTACCAGTCCACAGTCAGTACCAGTACCAGTCCACAGTCAGTACCAGTCCACAGTCAGTACCAGTCGGTGATACACACACACACACACTAAAGAAGTATTATAATGTGCTTCCTAGTGTGTTGTAAACAGCTCTTAGTTCTGTTGCAGCCTTTGTGCAGCACACTGACTATAATCCTGCAGCTTTACTATTCTTCTTGTTCTCTATCTTCCGTACAAAAGTTTGGCGCGCTTCTCCTCCCACAGAACGTACATCAAATGTGCGGCCTGATCGGGAATCGTTTGCTATGACTGTTCTCAGAGATTCACCCAGATGTTTTCCCGAAAATCGCGAAAAACGAAGCGAAATTTCTCCATTCACTTGAATGGGGTTTGTTAACTTTGGGTCCGTGTTGACGAGTCATAGAATGTTCAGCGCTAGAGTGATGACATCACCGCCAGAGTGGAGCGGAGCATGAAAAGTATTCTGTGATTTTTCAAAACAAATTGCGCCCATTCCCACAGTTTTTACTCTTTATACACCATTTTTGGTCAAAACGTAGGAAATGTTGTGCTGGTTGCAGTCATGTGTCATTGGAATCCAACGGACTCTCAAAGAGCCGCAGAGCGACATGAACTCCAACCAACTGCTCCATTAGACTCCATGTTGAACCTCACCACTCATTTCTCAAAGAAAGCAGACGGTACCAGTTTTGTATTTTGCTCTGGAGCTCACATTATTAACACCACAAACATAAAAACTACATCACCGCGTTCAGCAGAGTCTTATCTCTCTCATGGTACCCATATGTTGGTTTTGGTGTAGGGGCCAGAGGTTTGACAGGTAGTTTTGTTGAAAATCCCTGTCTACTCTAACTATTCTTAATCAGTCTGCCTGTAACACCCAGGTGCACCCATCACCACAAACGATGAAATGATGTCGACGCGTTCAGGGTCTTTCCTCTGCTGGTGGTTTTATGTCTGCCTTACATAGGTGACAGCTATGTGTTTCTATGAAGCAACAGCTGCTCTCAAGTTCAAGACTGTCCGTCACGAATACAAGATTCAATCCAAGAGTATGAATCTCAAATGCAGAAAAGAGAGAAGTGATATCTCAATTGAACCTCAACAATACTACCGGTAACATCGGCGTGTGTATGTATATATATTGCAACGTCTTCAGGCAGTAGCAGCCACACTGTCAAAATGTCTTGCGAAATGTTCTAATTCATCTCTAATATCTATTTTATATTCATGTGAAAACATCTCCTTCAAACTACTGGATTTATTCAAGTTTATCACTAAAACTACATTTTACAGATGACATGTGAACACATCATGATAACGTTATAATGTACCTTCAGCCAGCACTCATTTTCACTGAACAGAGCCTGAAGGCATCATCATGTAACTGAAGTGAACCTCCGTTGGTTCGCCGTTAGCGGTGCGGCTAACGTTGCTAGCTCTCCTCTAATTGGTTGTTTACAATGAAACACTATCAGAGATCAGAGACTAGAAACACATGTTCTACTGAGTATTGGAGGAGAACCATCGTCAGTAAAACTTTATCACTAATCAATAGTGTGTGTGTGTGTGTGTGTGTGTGTGTGTGTGTGTGTGTGTGTGTGTGTGTGTGT